TTATAGCTGAGCATAAGAAAGGGAATAATAACTGATAATATAGAGATGAATACAAAATTACGTAGATAGTAGAACTTTCTGGTCCTTTAGTTGCTGCAAAAGCACATAACATATAATACATAAATGAAGCAGGGAAATAGCATAATTTAGTGGGGTTTAAAAAATACAGGTTAAATATTCTTGTACCAATTTCATGGCTGGGTCTATTGAGCAAAACCTAAAAGTTAACTAAAATCAAATATCATCACTCTCTAAATATAAAAATGCACATTTGAACCAAAAACAAAAGCAAACATCTTCTCATGAGGCATAAAGATTTGAACAAAACAGCACCAGTAAAAAACAAACCTATTCCTAGACCTTTGAAACACTTTCTCTCTTCTTCAGGCACATTTCCCTCCATTTGCCCATCACGATCCTCTCTCTCTTTGTCAAAGAAAAGAAATGGCTAACAAAACCTTTTTGATCCACTGGCAGCTAGACTTGGCCCTATATCCCCAACAAGCCGGATACGAAACTTGAATAAACAACTTGTATTTTTTAAACTAAGCATGTACGTGTATCTAATCTCATATAAATCCCTTTCCAACCTCATTCCTTCAAGTATAACCTTCTTTTTTGGCTTAAAAAAAAATACATCCTTCTATATATCTAATCATAGATGAAGTTCAATGGACAAAATTAGAAAGCTTGATAAACAATTAAACATAGACGCCATCTAAATAATACCTGTTTCACCCGTTGCCACCACTGAAAGCAAAGAAAGCAAGAAATATATTACTGAAATCAGCAATTAAGAAGGAAAATTAGAAGGAAGAAACAACAGGTCATTTACCTGTTGCACCTGAAGCCACCATTGAAATGCTGAATTTATAAACGAAGAGAGGAACGATGTCACAGCCACTTTGAAGTTCTAACAATACTACCTCCAAATTGCAACTGCAAATACCAAGTAAAAAGCCATACGAAACTCACAATTCATCTCCATTAGAAAATGTAATAACAAAAGGAACTCACAATTGAAGCACAATTCCATTGAAAAGAAGCAATATGAACAAAGTAATGGTGGGACTGATCTTGAACATTAGCTTGAACAAAGTAATGCTGCGAAATCTAACCATCGATTGCGTATAAGTTTCTGAAATTGACAGAAGCAATTGGGTTACCAAACTGACAAGAAGATTGAAGATTTAATAAGATTTTGAAGAAAAGAGATGGAATAACAGAATCAAAGGCATTGTATAAAGAAAATTACCTGAAATTCTGGGATTATTGCGTCTCTGAGGAGTTTGATAGTATTGTTGAAAAAAATAGTGCTGAGGAATTCTCTTCCCGATCCGTCACAACCGTCTGGAATCCCCTCTCCATTGACATAGAAAACCACTGCAGAAAATATCCTAACATCGAATGCTTCCACTACCATCCATCATCCAACTTCAATGGTTTCTAGTGGTTACAACTGAAACCGCCAAAAGAAAAGCTTCGACCTCAGGAACCATTATTTTATTGAAAGAAAAAATCAAAACGCAGCTAATATAGTGTAATGGGCCAACCAAGATAGATGGGCTCTTATGGAAGAAAATTAAGAAGTTGGTACATCATGTACTTAAGGTTTGTTTGATTTAGGTTATAGAAGCTTTTACTTTTTGGGAATAATTAAGAAGAAAAAAATGAAAATTTTAATGAAAAAAAATTAAAAGTTGTTTTTAGAGATAGAAAAAAGTAAGTCAAAAAGAAATTTATGAAAAATAAAAATTAAAACTTTTGAACTTTTTACTGTTTATGATCTTTTTAAAATTAAAAAAAAAATCTAAAAATGTAAGTTTTCACGAGGAAAATTTAAATTTATGAAACATGAATAGTATCAAAAAACTGAAACTCCAAGAAACTAACCCAAACATGCTCTTAATATAGTATATATGCTTTTTCTAAGGTATATAGGTTAATTATATATTTATTTTATTTTTTATTGATTTATATAAAAATTATAAAAATAAATATTATTTTAATATTAATATCATATAAAGTATTTTAATTGAATAATTAATAAAATTAAAATTAATTTTTTTTATAAAATTAATAATAAAAATTATTTTAATATTAATATCATATAAAGTATTTTAATTGAATAATTAATAAAATTAAAATTAATTTTTTTATAAAATTAATAATAAAAAATATAATAAATATATTCTTGTTATATATGTTAAAATTTCTTTTTATAGCATTATATCATCCATTATTTATTACAATTCAATAATATAGTACATAAACACAATATTGACTTATACCATTAATTATGCGGCAAAATTTTACTTTTAACCCTCTGCCTTATCAAGTTTAAAGGTTTTACCTCCTCACTTTATACTATAACCCTTTATACTATAACACTTTTAACCTCTCAACTTATTAGATTTATAGGTTTTATCCCTTCACCTATTAAAATTGAAGAAAATAACTCTCAATTTATACTAATTGTTAACTCTGTTAACTGAAAGTAGATTTTTGTCAACTAACAGTCAACTAATAGTCAGTTAACAAAATTAACAAAATATTATAAAATTAGTTTTGTTAATTCTATTAGTTGAAAGAAGATTTTTATAAGCTAACAATTAACTAATAGTTAGTTAATAGAATTAACAGTCAGTTAATAGAATTAACAGTCAGTTAACAAAACTAATAAAATATGACAAAATGAGGGCTATTTTCTTTAATTTTAATATGTGAGGGGTTAAAAGTGTTATAATATAAGGTGAGGGTTAAAATCTACAAACTTAATAAGGTAAAAGGTTAAAAATATCATAATATAAGATGAGGAGTTAAAATTTTAAAATTTAATAAAATGAGGGGTTAAAGTACGCTTTTACCTAATTATGCCGTGTCATGTTTGCTTGGTCTTTTTATCATGATAGGGCTGTAGAAATAATTTTTTTATATAATTTTTCCGTAAGTTATTAAATGAATGAATATATTTAATATTATAAATTTTACATAAATAAAAAAATAATTATTTAAATAATACATTAAATTATATAAAAAAATTAACTCAAAATCATTTTTTTTTTTATTAATTGTTGTTCATACAAACGGCCTATAAAAAATAGTCCTTCAATACTGGTCTTCTGTCCAAACTTTTGGGCTTTTAGTCCTTTACATGCTCACGTAATCAAATCCGATCTAAGTTAACGTAAACCTGACCTAACTTAACGTAGAGGGTATTTTGCTTTAAAATATATATTATTTATCTTTAGTAAGTTTAAAATTTTATTAAGAAAAAATTTTAAAAAACATTTTTTTAAGTGAATATTAAGTAAATTTTTAAAAAATTTAAATATGTAATTTAAAAAAAAAATTATTTAAATTTTATTTTTAAGATTAATTTTAAATATTAACAAAATCTTAAATTTATAAAAAAAAATCAATACTTTTAAAAGTAACTACTTTTAAGCTTTGTTAATCACCTCCCTAATAGAATGCCTACCGGAAAAAAGAGTTTATATTAAAAAAAAGAAAAGAAAAGAAAAAATATCTAAACCATATTCCAGCACCGCCGTCCGTTTATAAACTTGTCTCTCCGCCGCCGCGGCTGCTCCGTTACGTTGCTTTTGTCGCCGCTGAATTACCGTCTCTGTCGTCGTTCCTCACTTCATTCATTGATCAGGTAAGAAATTTTTCTTATTTCTCTTTTTCTTTTATGTCTGCGTAGATCCAGTGGCTCTCTTTCTAGATCTAGTGGCCCATTTATCATACTCAAATTACTGGATTCTATCATATCACGATTTCAATTTTTGTTTCGAAATGGGGTGTCTCAATTTTCGTTATGCAGAAGTTTCTTTTACAGAATTGGGTGTTATAATTGAGCAAAAGGTTATGGTAGGATTCAAGAATAGGTACATGCATGGTAATAGAGGTTTTTTAAGATCCAAACAAAGATCATCAGCATCATCACTTGGATCATTCCAACGTAGGTGCCAAGTTATTTAATTGTCTTCCTCCTATTTTTCTGCAGACTTATAATAATTTTTAAATCTGTTATGCTTGCTTGCCTCCTATGATGTTCATATGTGTATTGTTTATTTGTGTGGTCAAATATGTGAATTCCATTACAAAGTCGTGTATTATCAGAGTCTCAAGAGAGGAATACGAAAAAGCTTGGTCTGCAATTACCATGCTCTTGTCGGCGAAGTCCAGTGCACGGTCTCGTCATTAAGAGTTGGGTAATAATAATAATGAATAAATAATGAGGTTGTGGATAAACAAGATCTATTTGTACTAAAAAAATGAGGTT